ATCCTGAGGCCGAGTCCCACATACAGCAACTAGAAGGATGTGCAGCTATGACATACAACTATCTACTGGGGCTTTGGGGGGAAAAAATAAAATAAATAAAATCTTAAAAAAAAATAAGAAGAGGTGTGTAGGATACAGTAGCGAGGGGCATCGGGTGAGATCTCAGGAGATCTGGCCTCTGCTCTGCCCCTCGCCTCTGGCTTGGGACACTTTGTTCAGCAAACATCTCTTGGGCCACAGTCCCTTTCCAAAGGAACACACACTTTGGAGGAGAGGCAGGCATAGGGGCACGCCTGACATTTCTCTGGATCTCACTTTCCCCTCTCTCGGTGAGGAAAAGAATGCTGACCACCAAAGTGTCTTCCAAGAAAAGGCAGTGGAATGCACTGGGGACTGTGGAGACCAGGGACACTGCTTTCAGGGCCTTGCAGATTGGAAAGGGAGCAGGGCATAGGAAGTAGGCAGGGGCTTCCTGTCTAGGTTTTTGTGCAGGAGATGGAGCCCCTTGGGGCTTGGGAAGGAGGTCGTAAGGGTGGGATGCCAGTCCCCAAAGAGCTCCTAAGACTGGCAACTGATCCACTCTGCTCCCTGGGGCCCTGAGCCCTTGTCTTGCTGGAAGGCAGTCCCTGGTACGAGGCTGGTTCTCTGGGCCTCCCATCTGCCTGAGCAGCCCCACCTTCCAAAAGACCTGTAGTTCTAGGACCAAGCCTGCAGACCCCAATTCTTCCGACTCCTTTAACGTCTTTCTGGAGACTGACTGGAAAAGACCAATAGGAGCCCATCTTGCACACTCAGCGGCAGCTCGTTTCTCATGTATTTCAGAATCCGGCACACAGAAGGTAAATAAAGGAATGAATGGTCCCTGTACCACTGGCCCCTGGCTCTCCCTGGAATTTGGCAAAGTCCCTTCTTCTCACACCCAGTCTCTGAGCAAAGAAAGGCTGAGGCCCCCAAACAGCCCAGAGCACCTGGAAGAGGAAGGCTGAGACCCTCAAGAAGGTGGACTATAAACTCAGAGAGGCCCAGGCCTCTTCCTTTGCAGGAAGCCAGAATAATAGTCCCCTGATATCACTTTATAGTTTGCAAAGTTTGCTCACCTTTTGAAACAGATGAAAGCAAACTGGGCGGAGGAGGGTAATATGTAAGCACCTACTAAGTGTCAGGCACTGGGCCAGCACTGGGGAGGCAGAGAGGACAGTCTGCCCTCAAGGAACTCTTTCTGGGATGTGTAAAGATGTAATTACAATGAGGTGTGACGAGCTGTGGGTGAAGGTGAGGGCGTGGTGGGAGGAAGCAGGCAAGGTGTCCTGGAGGGAAGAGGTAAATAGAATTTTGACTTGTGATTAGCAGTGAATCCAGGGAAGGGAGAAAAAGGACATTCTAGCCAGCAGAAGATGAGTGCTAAGACTCTGGAGTGAATTCTAGGGCCTGCAAGGCCATACATTGCGTGATAAAGGGGTACATGAGAAGCGAGGCTAGAGAAGTGGGCAGGGCCCCTCTGGTAGACTAAAGACTGTGGGGGAACTCAAGGGGGACCAGACAAGCTCCACACCCTCATGGAGCTAGAGTCTCATTGGGACAGAAGCCAGGCCACAAACAGTTCAGTGACAACCATGAGAAACCATACTTTTCTGATCTGCTGCTAGGACCAGTGTTCATAGGCACGTGGTCAACAGAGTTGCTGCAATTAACAACATTTTCTGATCTCCTTGTCAACAAGTTGAAAATATACTGGCTGACCGCTACTTTGTTTAAGTAGAATCCTAGTTGGTCGCATGGACTTTCCCAGAGAGTAATTATTATGGATCAATGACAACCTGGAGGAAAATCTTTTGTTTTGGGCCTCATGGACTATTTTTATCAACTTTCACTTCTGTCATGGTGAGGGAACACGCAATAGGGCTAGGTTCCTTTTTTTACCAAAAAGACAACAGGATACATGGGAATCAGAGCAAAATAACAATAATAATAAAACTCACAAAATGAGCTTCCAGAAAAAAATGATCATATCATAAACTTTTAAAAATTGAAAACTATTTTAAATCTCAAATTTACAAAAAGTTACTTTAATGTCCAAATGAGATTAGCTTATCCTCAAGAAAACACTGGAGACAGCAGAAATGAAACCTTGGACCAGACAGAGGTGTAGCTGATTTTAATGTGGGGGAGGGAGATCTTTCCAGTTGGTTGGTGAGGAGCCAACATGTAGAAAAGGCTTTGCTCTTTGACCCATCTTTCCTGAGCATTCTGCCTGGTCTTGCTTTCATGCTGTGTCTACTAACATATTTTCACTATAGTTTTATCACTGTTATGTCAGTCTGCTACACTGTAAAGTAACATAAGCCGAAAGCACCACTGTGAGAGAATTTGCTGGAGGGATGGTGGGAGAGGCCACACCACTGCTCCCATCTCCCCCACCTCCACCCCCACTCACACTTCCATCTCAGGCTGTGGCATAAAGCACCCAGACGTTTACACCTGGTAGAACTTTCCAGCAGTCAGAGTCCCTAAAGATGGAATGGGTTACTACAAGGGGTGGTGAGCTTCCTGGCCCAGGATGTGGTCAGATGGGGCTGTCTGACCACCTAGAGGGAGGATGAGGCAGGGATACTGGTGTGAGCAGTGGTTAGATCCATCCTGTAGAGTCTCTCCTGATTTGAGGCTACCCTTCCACGAATCAGACGCCTGCTGCCCTCAGTTTGAGTGATAGGAGTTCAGACTGGGGTGAGATCAGTGTGCTGCCTTGGAAGGAGGCTTCCTGAATGGGAAGAACCAGGGCAAGTATGACTGCTTAAGCCTGGTGGACGAGGCGTGGTGAGGCTGCATCCCTAAGGTGGCACCAAATGGAGAAAGCAGAAAGCCCTGAGGGGCAGACATGCACGATATCCTTTAGCCTGAGGTCTCCAAGGGGTGGGTTTGATGAAGTCCGGGCTGGGCCTGAATCCAGCTCTGCCGTGTCCTAGATGGGGAAGTCTGGGGCAAGTTACTCCACCTGCTTGGGCCTCCGTTTTCTCATTAGTGAAACGGTGCTCTACCTCCTTCACGCGGTTTGTTCGCAGGTTACATAAGAGTTATAAAGCATGCAGTCTAGGGTCTGGCGCTCCGCAGGGGTTCAGTAACTGATCATTTATTTCATTCCTCCTCTTTCCATCTCGCGTGTCAGGATGTCTCTCATTTCCCCCCTCTGGGCCTATTTCTCTGGGTCGTTTATGCTGGGAGCCGCAGCGGGAGCTGACTTGGCAGCTTCAAGCTCGGAGCGCAGCCTTCCCCTGCTGCACACTGTGGGAGGCGCCTGGGCAAGATTTGGGAGCTCGCCAGTGCAGACAGGTATTTCCAGTCCGGCCACAGAAGAAATGGGTGGAGGTGGGGATGAGGATGGGGGAGGAGATCAGAGGAGCCCAGGAGCTGGGTGGATCCCATGGGAGGAGGGCGGGGAGTCCCTCTCCGCCGGGCGCTCCTGCTCCAAGGCTCAGATTTCAAGCCTAGCTGCCGCATCTGCGGCTCTCTAAGCCTTTTAGGGGAGGGGAGAGGGTCGAAGTGAGTTTACAAAGGAAAGAGGGCGTGCAGGGAGCCAGCTAACAGCCAGCTCCTGCGACCCCCGAAGCACGGCCCTGACCCGCTAGCCCCGTACGCCTGCGGCGCGAAGCGGCCGACCGGTCTTTCCACGCTTGGTTGTACAGAACTCCACCAGGGGGCGATCGAGCCCACGTGCCACCGACTCCTGCTCCCCCGAAACTACAACTCCCAGGCGGCTCGGGGGTCGCGCCCGCCGCGCCTCTCCTTCTCTTTGCTCCAATTGGCCGCCGCGGGAGGAGGATTGGCGGTCTCCAGGGCGACGGGAGGCGCTCGGGGCATCCGAGGCGGGGAGGCGGGTCCGCCCCCTATTGTGTAGCTGGAAGAGAGGAGCCGAGCCGTGCGGAGCAGG